GGCCGGGGCTGACTACACGTGGATTTTATGGCAAAACGTGATTACGTGACTAGTTTATAAAATATTAATAATAATTACTTAATCAGATACTACGTCAATAACTAGAATATTCCACACATAGAAGTAAAGTGTTGGTCGTCCAAAAGTAGTTGGTGCTATTAATACGAAAGAAGGCAAGTTTTCTGTTAAATTGCTAGGTGTTGCTTTTCTTTTTTTAATGACCAATATATACCTATCATTTTGGGAAATTCGATGAGTGAATTGATTATTAATTGTTTGTAAGTAACTATTCCATGTCTAAAGTTTATATTTAATCGCTTAAATAAAAGGGAAAATGTTCTATTTAGTTGCGTAGTTTAATTCAATCTTGCGCATAGTTAATTTGCGCGTGGGAAGGTTTAATTGTATGTTAGTGGTGAGGGATATTAAATATGTCTTAGTAAGTATTGTAACATTGTACCCGCCGGCGAAATGTGAGGTCGGAGGTTAGCGTTGAGCATTCGACGTTCAAGCTTTGTACAATATAAATCGAAATGGTTTATGTTAATACAATATTATTTATTGAACGTTAGAATTATTGAAATGTCGGTATGTATATTTATGAAATGTAGGCATTCTGGTATCTAGTTAATAATTAGAACAGAGCCTTTCCGTCTTTGATGAACAGTGGGGTAAAGCGCATAACTGTGGCGTTTACTACGAGCTTAACTGTATCTGCAGTGTGCAATAATAAATAAATACTTCTCGTAAACACTGAATTATTTCAGTGTTTACGAGAAGTATTATAAAACTGAATGTAGTCCATTTAACTTTTACATAAGTTAATGATACGGTAATTACATGTACAATACATATTTTGTATAAACTTTTCGTTTTATCTTTTCTAGCTGCTTAAAATATATTTAGGTATGGGGGTGCCCACTTTAAAAAGATTTAAGACTTTAAAAACAAGTTAAGCCATTTTTAAATATTACGAGTTACAAAAGAAAGTGGCAAATGTTCTTCAATTTGTTTATATTTTACATATCTTACTTTTATTTCAATCGAATTTTTTAACTCCACAGCTTACTAACTACCTCCACAAACGAACTGCACCAGTGAGCGGATAAACGTTGAGAGCATTCCAGATGAATTCTAAAGTGAAAATTGCAAAGTTGGCAGATGATGTGGTACAAATTAACTGACCGCTCGTTGGCGGGTGTTGTGCCGTTAGGGCCGCTAAAACCAGCAAGTCCGGCGGTAGAAGGGCGGCCGGTTGCATGTTTTAGCAACGATTGAAACCTAACATTCGTCTAAAGCAGACCGGTCAAAGCTTTTGGTACCGATTGCCTGAAGCGGTTCATGTATTCCTTACGAAATAGAGAATGAAAATACTAAATGTATAAGTAATAAATCCGACATAAATCCGGTTATCAGCGCGTCGGCTGTAGCGAGCTCGCGCCTCTCATGTG